TCCTCGGTCACCAAACGAAGCCGCTCCAGAGGACAACAACGACGAAAATTTCATGGCTACATTTACCAACGACGTCGACTCTGGTTCGCAAGGTGGCGCAGACGTGGCCTCAAAACCTCTCGGTAAGGTTGCGTCACCTCACTTTGTTGGGCCAACCAGCCCAGACTACAGTCTGAATGTGGCCCAAATAAAGCTATCAGGCCCATCACTACAGCATCAGTATCCCCGGATTGCTTTTATCCACCAAGACACAGTCGATCAACAAGATCCATCGTCTGAAGAAGATGGTCTTCATACTACCGACGATGCCGATGCATTTGACACATCATCCGCACACAGCGAGAAAGACCATGCAAAGTTGCTACAATTCCGATCCGTGCTCGGTTTACAAGAAACTCTCCGGCTCTTGCATGTGTACCAGGAAGTTATCGGAGAACTCCACCCAATCGTCGACATTGACGAACTTGCTTCGCAAGCTCCGTCTTGTTATGAAGAGTCAGACTCTGGAATATATGACCTCTTCAACCGGGGACCATGTGAGGTTTCCGAAGAGCAGTTGTTGATCCTCAATTTGATCTTGGCAATTGCTCTCCGTGCCGACTCAAACTCCGCAAGCTACCACACAGGAATACTCCTTCGGCAAAATTTTCAGGATATAGTGAACGCTAAACTTGCCACGCCAGCTTACAGTCTGAAACATGTAATAATCGTCCTCCTCAAGGTTCGTATTGCCATTTTTGCAGATTCTCAACGACCTCCTTACTGACAGAAAATGGGGCGATAGGGCTGGTATGACTACTTCAACGATAGCCCGCAATCTGCTTGGCGATTGTGTGGGATTGCAGGACGAATGGTGATGGAGCTTGGTTTCCATAACGGCGAGGTGTTCAAGCATCTGCTGGACTCAGAGTCTCAACGGTCGGAGGCATATACATTGATAAGCACAATTGTGGTTCTTGACCGTCAGTGGAGTGCCTCAACAGGTCTTCCCACGCATTTCCACGAATCAAGATTTAACCCGGTCCCCGCAACACATGTAAGTACGGTACATTGGTCGTTTTACCTGACTGTGAAGTTGACAATCTATAGACCATAAATCCATACCTAAAGGCAATGCTCTCCTTTATTCTAATTAGCGACCGGTTTAGCGAGCCTATTTCAAAGGTAGCCAAGGGGGAGAGATACAACGACTACGACGCGTTCGAGTTAATGAACTTCCAGATCGAACAATGGAGGAAGAACGCGGTTGGTGAAAATTCTTTAACCCAGGTTGAGACTTGGTCAACAAATCCTTCAAGCAGACCACCTACGTGGACAATCCTTCTAAATCTCCGAGCGGAATCTGTGCGGAGCCTGTTGATGAGACCATTCTTCTTCTCGGACGCAGACCCTGAGGCAACTAGACAGCATATCCGACCTGCAACAGACTTAGTATACACTGTTGTTCATGTGCTCTATACTATTGACAACACGACCAATATATATCGCCAACAACACCCGTGCTGCCAGCATCTTTTGGCATCTGCTTCCGCACTCGCATTTCTTCTCATAGCGTACATTGAGCAGAACCAATCAACATTGATGCCGACTCTGGCTCCAGACTTAGTCAGCTCTCTTAGCCACAGCTTTGAAATGGCAGTGGCCTTAACGACAAGCTATATCGGTACCTCAAAGGCAGCGCGGAGATTGTATAAGCGGTTGTCTGTGATGCGGAAGATCCTCACCACGCTCGGAATTCTTGACGGTGTGTGCACTGTAGAAAAGGCTATGCCAGGAAAAGCCAAAGAGAAAGCCACATCCTTGACCAATCCCGTTGCAAGGACTACTCCTGGGAAAACAAGACTGGCCCAGGCAGCGGCGCAAGGAACTCAGCTGAATCTTGAGTTCAACGCAGCGCCATTTTTCCCAAATCGGATAACCGACACCGGAGGATTTGTCAATGATATATTGCCGATGATGAGTGATGCTGAGTTCTCATCAGGGTGGATAGACGCACTTCGACTTCAATGTCAAAATGGAGATTTAAGCAATATGTTTTCCGAGAGTAATGCATTTTAAGAAGCTGGGAACGTATGAGAAACAAGGATGAGATTGGTGTATATATATGTGTGATTTTAGTCGTGAACTGGTCGAGCTAGATGAATTCTATTTTCAATGGACTTGTATTTGGGACGAGATAATTTCTGTCCTTATCAAATCTAGCTACATAGAGTTTTTCAAAAGGGATTGCACGAGCTCTATCAAAAACATCTGATTATTCCAATACGACAAAGAAGGCTTATAGCCTCCGAGAAACCCGTTTCAAGGTATTCAACCTTTATGAACGCCAAACTTACTGAGATATTTGCCGCATAATAGTTGCTCAGTCTTAAAAACTGAGTCTGGTGTCTCGGATCTCAGCCTCTCCAGCGGAGTTTCGTATTGGAGCGTGGATCAAGCTTATTTGCCGATAATGAGGTGAGGCTCAATACCGATCCGTTGCAACATCTGTAAAATGCGGGTAGCAACCACACCCCACGTTGCGGCAGCGATTCCCATCACCAGCGCTTCCGGTGCCGAGGGAATGATAAGACTAGTTCGGCGTCGCCACTATGTGTATCCTAAACGACCTGTGTCATATATAATTCGAGGGTGTAGATCCTTGCGTATGAGTCGATACGCCGCCAACAAGGCGCGCTCTTCCAAGAGAGACACAACACATTATATGCAAATTCGTGAAGGCTCTACCCACCCTGCCAGCAGGGCATAGCCGCCCTAGGTATGCTAACATCAAACCACCAAACTTGTCTCGCGTAGTTCGTATCCGACGTGCGTGTTCCCAAACAGCCGCATTGCAAGGATCATTGCCGGATATTACTCCACTTTTAGTTCCGGTTATGTTACTGTTCCGATCGCGCCGGCAGTTCCGAAAGATCCACACATTATCGATAAGATGATGGTTCAACACATTCACCGAGCAAAGAACCCGAATCAAAGCCAGCTTCATTAAAAGCCAACTATCCACCATATGAACACTTTTAATATATTGCACATCAATTCATATCCATTCTTGATTAGGCAAACATAATTCCATAATCGAAAATGCCATCCTCCGACCCACTCGACGATGTTCGGCCCATGTTCGAGCTTCGAGGCCGCAATTATGTCATAACAGGCGGTGCCCAAGGTATCGGCTTCGCCTGTACACGTGCAATCTGTGAGATGGGAGGCAATGTTGCGGTTTTGGATATCCAAGACAAGCCCGTTGACGAGTTCGAAACATTAAGCACTCGCTTCTCCACAAAAGCAATCTATATCCGAACAGACGTTACCTCCGAGGAGAGTATCAAGGTTGCGATTGGCAAAGTGGTACAAGAGCTAGGCTCGATTGACGGATGTGTTCCCGCTGCGGGGATTGCTATTGACAAGCCATTCCTGGACCAGACTTGGGAGGAGTTTAATCGTATCCAAGAGATCAACGTGAGCACCACTGATCAGGCCACTGGCTTATTCCTACAACTAAACAAATTCTGATACGCTCTAGGTCCGTGGCACCTTCTTTGTTGCCCAGCTCGCTGCTCGACAGATGATCAAACAGGGCAGCGGGGGAAGTATGGTATTGCTAGCTTCACAATCCGCCCATATCGGTCTACCGGGATACAGAATGGCAGCATATAATGCCTCCAAAGGAGCGGTCTTCATGCTTTCCAAAGCGCTAGCTGTAGAACTAGCACCTCAGAAGATTCGTGTCAATACGATTTCTCCAGGCTTCGTGGATTCAGAGATGACGAGATCAGTTCGCGACCTGAAGAGCAAGCGCGAAGGCGAGCAAATGTGGCTCGCGCCTCCGAACCAGCGGTTGAGCACGCAGAATGATCTAACTGGTGCTGTTATCTACTTACTCAGCGATGCCGCTCGCCATACAACGGCAGCGGACATACCGATTACTGGCGGTCTCCACGCTGGAACCATTGATGGCTTGATTAGCTACGAGTCTAAGTAGTTTAGTAATCGGTATGCGGTAGAAAGGTGATATCCGATAATATAAAACTATCCAATTGGAGATCAAGTATATCCAATGTCCACATCGTTTTAAAGGCATAGCACTGGTGGTATCCTTTGCCCCCGTAATATTTTTATAAAATCCAGTTCAAGCGTTGCTAAACCAAATTTCAATGAAGATAGAATTAGTGTTCTTGCATATAGCAACTTGCTTAACCTGATTTTCAGAAATAATAACAAGGTTATATTCTAGGTCGCTGCACACAATAGAATGCTAGTGCGCTAGAATCGCTCTCGCATTGAAACGTAGCCGTAGTGCCTTTGTTGAACAACACAATGTCTCCCGCATGAACAGTCACCTTGGTGCCAACCTCATCGCTGATTGTGCATTCTCCCTCAATAAAACACTTCACTTCATCAAACTCGTATACGATAGACTGCTTTTTGTCCTTCTCAAGTCGGAAATATCCTGCGGTGAGTGGCACCTTGGATCTAGAAGACAACGAGTCTTGAGAAGGTTAGCTCAGTCATCTTCGATGGTGAAAAGGACTATTTTTCAAGATGCTCCATTTACCTTTCATGAAGGCCCTGACATTGGGTGCCACCTGATGGAGCTCTGCTGACTGGTTGGCGAATCCGCCTTGCTTGTACTCAATAGGCATGCTTCTTATTTTGGTGGCGTAAAACTACGTTGGGCTGGCCTCTTTCCTCTCCCTATGGTCGATTTGGAAATATCTTATAGTTCAAAGCTTACGAGGTAGGGCTTTATAAACTCAATGATGACCCAATCAATGGTATTTCACCCAGCACGGAAATTCCGTCCCGATCCCTGGAACCAGACAGGAGAGTTCCAGCTGCAGTTCCGCAACACAGATTTTAGGAACACGAGCTCTACTGGCCATTTTTCCTTTGGGACTTAACCAGGTTCAGAGATTGGGGATAACTGAAAACTTCTCGGAGTATTGCACTAGCACTATGGATGAAATATGATGTCAATATCGTCTAACCGAGAGACCCAGCTACAAAGTTTCGAACCCCATTGCAGACCAGTTAGCTCTCACTTTATCCTTAACTTCCTTAGGGTAGCTTTTCTCGAAGTCAACGCCGCTGAAAGCCCGCATTCCCTCGTACTCCATTGGGAACAGACAGTCAGAGATAGCCTTCCCCCCTCGCCTTGCGTCGCCGCTGCCATGTGACATGTACGGAGTAAGGGGGAAGCCAGGCACATCTTCAAACACGTATTCATCCTGCCCTGGGCGGCAGCGCGTAACCAAAGCCCAAATAATATCATCAAACTTACGGATGTCCACATCATGTCCAAATAGCAAAATTCTATTGATGAGCATGCAGCTTTTGTTGTTGAAAGCAATCTGCCCAAGTTTGTTACAAAAGTCTTGAGAATTCGTTTTCTCTTTAGCAAGCCTATCGGTGTCTATCTTAAGAGCGCACCAGGTAGCGTGAGTTTCGAGAGGTGCAAAAGCATCCAGTACTGGAAGATCGTGTTTCTTGCAGAGTTCCAGGAATTCTTCCGATGCAAGCGATGCTGTCGTGTGCTGTTTTAATGTAAAACGATTAGCTGTGAATAATAAAAGAAGCCTTCGGTAAAGATTTCTTACAGATTCGTCAGAGATTCTTCCTGGAACAGAAACAGGCAATATCGCATCATCTCGATAGGTAATTGCATTGACAGTGAAAAGGGGCTGTAAATGTTTGTCGTCGTCAAAGTGAAGTCCTAAATAGTCTTCAAATGGACCTTCGTAGGCTTTATCTTCGAGAGAAAATGTTCCTTCGAACACGATTTCGCTGTTTGCAGGCACTAAGAGGTCACTCAACTCACACTTGACCAACTCAAGAGGCTCACCCACGAGCGCGCCAACGTATTCGCCTTCGGATACGCCCTCTGGAATAGGACATGCGGCCGCCAGACTAACTGCTGGCGGAACACCCATTGCCAAGGCCCACGGAATCTCCGTTGCTCCCTCCTTGAGCCACTTGTCCCTGATGATGGAATTATGCTGACCACTTCCAACCAAGCAAACTAAACGTCTATTGTCATAGATCATTCCGCGGAAGATGGACCAATTTGTCCACGATGCGTCAGGAGCTTGAAGGATATGAACTCCATATGTCTGTAGATATTTCCCTCCGTCTGCTTGGTGCAGCATTGGTGCTGGAAGCTTGTTTAAATCGATCTCATCGCCAAAGATCTTAAATTGCTTGCATGGCCCTGTCGATAAAACTCGAGGCTCTACTTTGGGCTTGACCTTGCCAACCTGGCTTCTCTCGAGAATATCCTTCCAACTTGAATCGGCAGGCAAACCAAGCGATCGAGCTATCCTCCCGTACTTCTCTGATTCGTGACTCCTCAGGCTCGCGGCATTTCCAAACATCCTCCACAGACCGTTTTTGGCTCCCTTGACATTGTGGAAGAGAGGTGCTTTTCCATTGACCTCGCTCACGCGTCTAACGATTGCGCCGACTTCAAGGTGCGGATCCACTTCTTGTTCAATATCCGCAAGGTCTCCGTCTTCGCGCAGCACGTCAATGAAGGTGCGAAAGTCGAGCTGCGCGGCGACATGGCGTGGATGGGATGCAACAGAACTTTTGGATCGAAACGAGCTTGATCTAAGGGCCAACCGGTTTAGAAGCCTCTCAGTAGTTGGTCTTATTACCGTACGATATCTGAACATAGGCATCCTTATTATTTGGGATTTTTTTTCCGTTTGCCAACTTGCATACTACTCAGGCCAAAGCGGCACAGTATCAGGGGTAAGGATATAATCAAATAAAACAATACTAGCAACGACATCCTCTATTATTGGCCTCACTTCCCGGTTTACCATAGAGGAGTGGATCTCTACGGATGTTCCGATGAGATAGGAAGTATTCCGTGATACTGCTTCACTAGCTCGCTATTTTCTAACTGAGGCATTGTCTTTTTGTAGCCCAAGATTAAACTCTCAGGTCAAAATGGGCCAGTGCGTGAGTGAGTGTGTAGTTAAGTAACCTCGGCAACATGGTGTGCTACCTACCTGCTCGTTGTTGCACCACTTGTAAGCTCTACGAGTCACTAGTAGCTCTCCTCCTTGGCTTGGCATTTTTCACATTTGAACCATCCAAACCAAAAAGGAAACTCCTCGTGAAGCGTACATCTTTTCGAATGGTTTCGCTTGCTTGATACCCGATATGTTCAACGGTGGATACCTGCTAGTAAACGTACCAGGAGAATTCGACATCATGAAAAGGCTCGCCGAGGGATCAAATAGGCGCAAACCACATAGCCCCAAAACCATAGACTCTGTCGCGCACACCGGCATAGAACATTTACAGAATACAGGTTCCAATTATATTACGGCGCCCGGATCCTGTTTGGAAGCAAGACGCGTACTTCTTTCTTAAATGAGTTGATTTAGGAGCTAAGCTGATAACTCTGCTTAAGTAAATCATTCGCTATTCTAAATATGGTGTCATTGTAGTCTTGTTGCTCATCCATCATCTTAGATGGTTCAAAATATCTATGAGTTAGGCAGGCCCTTGTTTTATCAATATAGAGCCTCTAATCCATTCAAGGAACCCCCGTAGAACTCCCGATTTTAGGAATTACAAATCGTATATTTTTATCACAACTTATTGTGGTAATGCCCGAGGGTTTGTTTATACTTCACACCTTCCGACCGGAACAATCACGGAACGCCGAACCAAGCCCACATCCCAAGATAGTTAAGATCAGGTGAGAGAAACCAGGATAAACAGACTTTGACAAACCGCTTATACGGCAAGGCCTAGGGTATTTTGGGGAATAAGATAAGTAGATAAGTGTTACCGGATCAGTTTGCAAAAAGTGCGCTATCAGGACACATCAGCATCATGAGCCTAACAAAACAAAATACTACCGACGGGGCGTCCGTTACCCATAAACCAACAAATTCAGACGCAGAAAGGTTAGAACAGCTGGGAATCCAGGATGAACTTGTGCGAGATTATTCGCTGCCATCTTTGGTTGGACTTTGTCTATGCCTGATGGGAACATGGGAAGCCAGTTCAGCAGTTCTTACACAAGCACTATTGAGCGGCGGAGCCCCTTGCCTCTTCTACAATTTGTAATTTGACTCTCCATACATGCCCCGGGACCTTTTTATTGACGATATGATATCAGCCTTCTCACCTTCTTCTGCACGCTTGCTATTGGGGCTTCGTTGGCTGAGATTGCATCCATATATCCAACAGCCGGAGGTACGTTATTATTTTACCAACAAATATCGCACCGGGACTAACTCGGACACAGGCCAGTATCATTGGGTCACGGCCCTAGCCCCTAGATCGGTAAATAAGTTTGCGGGCTGGATAACTGGCTGGATCTCACTAGGCGGTCAGATTGTGCTCACAGCATCGCCCGCATTCATATCAGGCCTGATGGTTCAGGGCCTTGTTAATCTCAATGACGATACCTATATAGGCACCAGATGGCAGGGCATGCTATTTTATTGGGCCTTTGTTATCTACGCTGCAGTCATGAATGTCTGGGGCCATCGATTCTTGCCCATGGCAAACTTGATATCTGGTACAATTTCACCATATCCAATCATTCGCTGCATTCGGTGTCTGACACAGATACAGGCGTTTTACACGTTGGTTGCTTCGTCATTGCGTTTGTCGTGCTCGCTGCTATGTCCAGGAAAAACTCTGCCGAGTTTGTCTTCACGGAAGTTTCGAACCAAACTGGCTGGCCTAATGACGGAATCGCCTGGATGGTAGGTTTAATCAGCACCATCTATCCGTTCCTTGGATACGACGCGGCATGTCACCTGGCTGAAGAGATCCCCCATGCGGCACGAAATGTTCCTATCGCCATTGTGGGGAGCATCACCATCAATGGCTTGATGGGACTGGCTTTTGCCACTATGCTCTTGTTTTCCATCGGGTCCCTGGAAGACCTTCTTGCTACAACAACTGGCTTTCCATTTATCCAATTATTTCTCGATATTACCAAGTCCCACGCCGGCGCAACCATCCTATCACTTTTCCCCATCATTATCGCCATGGCTGCGGCCGTCGCGGGCGTGACGTCTACCTCGCGAACCCTATGGGCCTTTGCTCGCGATCATGCTACACCATTCTCAGGGTTCCTGAGCCATGTCAGCCAGGAGAAGCAGGTTCCGGTTAGGGCTATATGGACCATCGTAATTCTTCAGATTGTTCTTGGCTTCATCTATCTGGCAAGTTCAACTGCATTCAACGCCATTCTTTCTATGGCCATTGTCAGCATGTACGCCTCCTATATTATTCCAATAGCGGCAATGCTTTTCGGAGGCCGCGGACGGGTGCGATCAACCGACTACGGGCCTTTTAAGCTAGGGCAACCGCTTGGGGTTATCTTGAATATCGTCAGTGTCGGCTGGATCCTTGTTTCGATGGTATTTAGCACCTTTCCCAGTGTTATGCCTACTACTGCGGATAACATGAATTACTCTATTGTCGTCGTTATGGGATGGCTTGTATTTGGAATTCTCTTCTACCTGGTCTCGGGTCGTCGAAAGTTTGAGATGCCAATAGTTAGCGCAGGACTGATCATGGGGATTCCACTGACCGCAGACCCTGCGGCTTAAACGTCAGTCAACAGTTTTGTAATACTTCCGTACGGTGTTATTTCTCAGCTTAAAGTTATGCAAAATAAAATCTAGCAGAACTCTTGATATTACTATGTCTCTCAAAGAGCTGATGTAAATTTAACCTTGAGGGAACAATCCGGCCGGTAACACAGAAGCTCCAACCTTTCTATATCATTAGAGCTCCAGTGCTATTCACCCACTCACAATGGCATAACCGCTTGGCTACCGGTACGATAGTCTCTTGCAATAGACCCAATCTATAACCATCAGTAGAATTAAGCCAAAGCGCAGCCTCTCCCTGGTTCTCCATTGGTCCCGTTAATAGTATCATAAGAAGAGGTAACCCGCTGCCTTCTCTGAAGCACAGATTGGTACTAGAGGTTCCGACTCCAGAGGTGTAACCATACCTCGTTTGGGCTTTCTTATGGTCACACAATATTCCCCACTTCGGAAATTCCTTGTCTAAATATGAGAGGGTTATTGATCTTAGTTCCTCAACGGAATCATCCGCACGCATATTCCTAAGTCGACCAAGGCCTGCCCAAGTCGATACCTCATATCAGATCGGTATTAGCCTGACCTCCACATAAAGCCGCATGGTACTACCATGCCGTAGATGAAGAAGTGCATCGAGAAACCAACCCAGGGTCTCATTGATCAGGCATCATGAACAGAAGCATACTACAGCGGGTAAGAATCGCTCAACAACCAGAGCGCTGGCTCAACATCAGGCACCGAAGTCTCTCCACTAAAACGACGGTTCCCCTCGTTATCAACGGCAAAGATGTTGAGACACCCAATGTCCATTCTCTTATAAGCCCTTTGACGGGTAAGCCAATATGGTCTCTGGCATGTGCATCAAGCCAGCATCTCGAAGATGCGATCCAGAGTGCCCATGCCACTTTCCCAAGGTGGTCTAAGACCAAGGCATCCGCACGACGCGATATCTTTCTTGCTGCGGCCGATATTATGAATAAGCGACGGTCAGAACTTGGTGAATACATGCACCATGAGATAGGAGCCAACCAAGGATATCAAGATTTTATTCTAGGGCTTGCTATCGATGGCCTGAAAGACACGGCTGGGCGAATTGCTGGGGCCGTCCAGGGGTCTACACCAGAGTCAACCTACGAAGGGATGAAGGCCATCGTTCATAAGCGGCCATACGGAGTGAATCTTGGGATTGCACCATGGTATACTATCATATCAATTATTGCGTATCGATCATCGTACTGACGTTGCCTACGCATTAGGAATGCGCCATACCATCTTGGATTGCGATCTATCTCCTTTGCCCTCGCTACTGGAAATACAGCTATTCTGAAAGGAGCAGAACTTTCGCCACGGTGCTACTGGGGAATTGTTGACGTCTTCCGCGAAGCTGGCTTACCAGACGGAGCTCTGAATCTTATCTTTCACTCTCCCCAAGATGCAGGCACCACCATCAACGCTCTTGTGTCTCATCCGACAGTAAAGAAGATCAACTTTACTGGAAGCACTAGGGTTGGCAGTATCATCTCTGAAATTGCTGGTAAACATCTGAAGCCTGTTCTTATGGAGCTCGGAGGAAAAGCAAGTGCGATTGTGCTCGAAGATGCCGACATAGAGCAAGCTGCTCTCCATTGCGCTCGAGGAGCTTTTATGAATGTGAGTGTTGGAGGAATAATACTACCTTCCGCTGAATCGAGTCACTCACAATGAGAAATTAGGCTGGGCAGATATGTATGTCAACCGAACGCATCTTAGTACAAAGTTCAATCGCCCCCGAATTCCAGAACATCTTGCATCGGACTATCCAAGACCTATTTGGGTCTGCAGATAATACCCCAGTCCTCGTGACTGCGGCTTCAGCCCAACGAAACCAGGCCTTAATATCAGATGCAGTCGGCAAGGGTGCAGAGTCAGTGCAAATCTTCAGCGACACTCACGGAGATCAGGTAGAGACCAGAATGCGTCCAGTCGTCCTCAAAAATATCGACAAGAACATGGATCTCTATGCCAACGAATCTTTTGGTCCCAGCGTGTCACTCTTCACTTTTGAAACTTTGAATGATGCCATCACATTAGCCAATGACACAGACTACGGCCTGTCAGCTTCCGTCTTCACAGACGACTTAGGCAAGGCATTCCGTGTTGCTGATAAATTGGAATCTGGAGCTGTTCATATCAACTCGATGACCGTTCACGATGAGTATCCCCTTCCTCATGGCGGAGTAAAGAATAGCGGGTTTGGACGTTTTAATGGCTACCAAGGGTTGGATGAATTCCTTTACTATAAGACAGTCACATGGATGGAGTAGTTTAGGTTTTAGTACCCTTGTCATAGACACCAAGGAAACCGTCAACGCAAGCGCGTAGTGGGCTTGCATGCTCCAATTGGGGACACGCTAGATCTTTATTTCAAATGCAGGATGGGGAGTTCTTCTAATTGAACTATTCGTTTGTTTTTGATGGTATAGATTATAGCTCTAAATTCCACTGCTCCAGCTCGTAGGAACATTGGAGTTCAAGAACTATGTAGAAGCGAGTTGGTAAGCTGGAGGTAGAGTCGGAAGTCCGGAACCACTTACTCTCAATGATATGTCCAACTCATTCCTAACCCTCGTAGGCCATAGCTAAGATAGCATGAATTAGAAAGCTTCTGCCTATGCCGACTGCTTACGCCCTGGGAGAAATGGCTTTAATAGTATCGGTCTAGCTTCGAAACCCTCTATCAATAAAGACTTCAATGCAATGGAAGAGAGGATCTCACGGTAGTGATTCTATATATCCAGTTAAACCAGGACATCCAGGGGTGGTTGCTCGGTCAGCGGCTCTACCACGGGGATTGACAAGCACAATGCTTCCCATGGAGTGCGCAACTCTCGCATCTCGGACAGTCTAGACCCCCTTGACCATAATCGGTAGAGATTCTGACCCTCGAAGCTATGGAATAATGCTCCGATATGCGGTGAAGTCAATCAATCCAGGGGTTTGCCTCATAAGGCGACTGCCTCTTCATCACCACTGCTCACGGTCGTCTTCACTCCAGCCATAACAATCACTCCATTGGATTCGACTCATTTGTGCCTCTCACTACGAGACCACGGGGAAATCAGGGGCGGCCGATCCTCGCTCACATGGCTGGAAAAGAGTATATTTTGGGGTTGGTTCCAAAAACTCGTTGCAAGGGTAGCCTGACAGTGGTGTGAAACAGTGAATGAATCCTCCCATCTGGTCCTCGAGCCAAGCGGGTTTGTAGGCTAGGGCCGGAACACATGACCGGAATGCGGATTGGGGGACGGAAATCCCGATTTATATCAGAACCAGGGATCATGGAAGCATGTTTACTATAGTCTAATTAGTAACCACGGACTACTATTACGGGGACACCGGAATCCAGGTATTCCGCCGGTTAAGCATTCCTAACCAATCTGCGAGTCCATCAGAGCCCAAACCGCCTGTGGCAGTCGATCCAAATTATGCTGAATCGATTTTATATACCTTTGCTAAGTGAGAATGGGACATGCAAATTCCAGAGACACTCGGAAAACCATCAAGACAAGCGCTATATTACAAGAAAATTTATACGCAGAGTCAATATGTCTGACAAAACACCCCGATATCTCACGCAGCCCCAATACAACTCAAAGGTTCTCGTTCGTGGTAATCCGGACTACGAGCGATGCCGTCGCAACAATCCAACCGCCGACACTCCATCCCGCTTCCCACGGGAAATACACATAGTTGAAACGCCCCAAGATGTTTCAAAGGCTCTTCAGCGTGCCACTGAGCTTGGGGTGCCTGTTGGCATCCGCTCATCTGGCCATATTATGAACATGCCCAACCTTATTGAAGGCGGTATACTCATCGATACAATCAACCTAAACCGACAGATTGACTATGACTCAGTTACACAAGAGATTACATTCGGCCCATCTTGTCGTGTAGAGGAACTTGCGGCAAGATTGAAAGAGATCAACCGGTTCTTCCCCCACGGGCATGCTCCTACCGTAGGCTCAGGCGGGTTCCTCTTGGCTGGTGGTCAAGGCTGGTTTGTCCGTGGTTGGGGCGCTACCAATCAAACATGGCTTACCAAGATCGAAATAGTTGTTCCGGATGGACGAACTGTTATTGCCAGCCGTACCGAGAACCGAGATTTATTCTGGGCAGCACGTGGCAGCGGCCTGGGTTTCTTTGGTGTTGTCACTAGGTTTTGGGGACGAACTATCAAAACCTCGCTCATGTGGGAGCGGATCCTTAAGTTTGAGATTAATACTGATAACTACATGACTCTTATGTCATGGGCGATTGAGAGGGGGCGCGATACCCCTAAATACGGCACAGACCTAAACCTCACTATTGACTACCCAGAGAAATTCGACCCGTCTTATACCACAGATGCCATTCCTCCTAGTGGCAAGCTTCATCTGACGCTCAACCTGCTCTGCTACTCGGACAACATCAGAGAGGCGCGAACCTTGCTCAGCGCCTATGACAAGATCACTCCCGAGGTCCAGGAGAGCCTCCTTAAGATGGAGCCCGTACAAAGGAGAACCGTGGAAGAGGTCTTTGCTCGAAAGCGCGGATTCCTCGGTAATGCTGGGAATGACCGGTGGCAAATCAATAGCATCATGAATGACCCGGATGTCCCTCTAGAGAGAGTGAGTTTGCCAATTCTTTCCCACTATCACGATTTCGTCTGTTTGGAAGGTTCCCCAGGCTAACGAATAACCCACAAGCTCCTGGAAGCTATCAAGCCAGCCATGCTTGAGCTTCCCACGCGCACGTCTTCTGTGTTCTTGTGCCACTGCGATATCACACCAGACGAGGAAGATGCATGTCTCAGTCTGCCCCAGGATCTCTACATCTCTACCATCACAGGATGGACGGATTCCCGGCTCGAGCCAGCCATTTATCAGCCCATGCGCGACAACTACAGGCGTGCTTTCCCTGTGGCTGTGGGACAATATATTACTGAGATTGATGTTAATAACGACGATGCGAATGTAGGTTTTATAAATGTCATTTTTGATATTACTCTTGCTGACATTTTAAAGAACAAGGTACTCAGCGACACTGCTTTAGCTAAATTCCTCAAGATCAGAGAGAAGTGGGATCCGAACGAACTATTCCCTAACTATAAAACTTTCATCCGGGCCCATGATAAAATCAACCGCATGAAAAATAAAGCCCAACTGTAACTCATATATAATAGTTGGAAACGATATTAACTAGGTTATATATAGCATGATATAAAGTAAGCTACAATAGAACACTACCTTGATTTTGCAGTTTCCGAGCTTGTAAATCTAAGCTATCTGGCAGTGTAGCCCTTTACGCGGATATTTAGGTTCCCATCCTAACACTTTTCCTACAACACAGTGTTAATGCATAATGTCTCGAGCCCGTACCTTTATAGATAAGGTGTACGGATAGAGGCAGGAACAAGTCCTCGCCAGACGTAGTCATTTATGTACCCGAACGCGGGCGAAATTTTATGTCCAATATTCAGTGTAATGCCGAGCTCCAAAGCACTGCTAACCTCAAAATGCTATCCAATCAAGCCATTGTTCAAAGTTGTTTCTGTAAATGATCGTCCGTGGCCAAGCCTTGCAAATTCCGAGTCCGTGAGTTGTTTTTGGCCTGGCTTCTTTTCGATAGCTAGTTGTGGTAACCACCCTGGGGTCATATTAGCGGTTACTCAGGCTTTCGTCCAGCTTTAGCCCCAGATCCGGCGCCTGGTGCTATACTTTCGTCTCTTTAGACTTGCCTTTGTCCTCAATTGCTGATGTTTGGTCCTTGTTCCCCGCCGGCTTGTTGGGGGTCTGATTTTGTGACCCTCCCCGAACTGAGGGCTTCTCCTCCGGACCTTTTGAACTACATTGGCCGGTTTCTGACCGCTTTCCAAAGGAGCAAGGCTTGGTGCGTCTGAAGGTGATTTCCTAGCAGCATTACTCTTATCACCGGACTTTCCATCCTTTGCAGGACGATTGGTCGGGCCAGCGCTCTGTTTTTTGAAGAAGGCATTTCATATTCTGTTGAGTAGTTGAGATAAGTATTCCTCAGGTGCTCTTCACACTGAGAGATGCCTTGTTGAAAAATCCAAAGTCGACGGGCCAGTTGAGAGGAGAGGTAAGGCTTGGTCAGACAAATCCGGTATCTTAGGTAATGAACTCGTAGCCCAGTCCTGAGAGTGGATTTGGTAGACAGTAGTTAACTCTACGTTTTTCCAAATCTGCTTCAAGGTGCGATATCACACTGACATTCCAACATGCCCAATACACCATAATACACATCCATGAATTTAGCTACCATACATCCACAAGAGCCGAAAATTATGCCCTACCGTAGGGCAGATGGTTCCTTGAATAGTGATCAGAAAAGTTAGCAAATTCACTGGCTTACCACCCTAGCCATCTAGAGAGCACAAAAAACAACCAATGTGGACAACGTACGCTAGCAACTGTAACCTCTTGTAGATTAATCCCTAGGTATTGATCTGTCGATCTAGATATCAAATACGTAGTCGGGGAGGTGGCGTTTATACCAGTATTCTTCATGTATCACCCGGAGCTCAACACCATGCACAAGATCAGCCTCGCTCATCAACGGATCCATCCGCGCGTTCCAAGTCCCCGGTTCACCAAGGAATTCTATGCGACGCAGTCGCGGCAGCTGTTGTGGGCATCTCTCCGCCAACGCCTTGATCGGCTTGATTACATCTTTTTCAGGGTGCCAGTCCGCAATGATCAATTGCTCAAGCTCCTCTGATGAGGCATCTGCCGGATACAACACCCACAAGACTGCCTCTTCATGAACCAGCATGGCGGGCGTGAGGCAGAGCGCCTCAACGCTGGGCGGGACATGGCGCTCCATGGGTTCAGGTATCATGTCCACGCCGGTAAGAGATATCAGGGGGACATCAAGATAGACGAGCCGCTCAAAGTCTCGAAGGCCATCCCATGATCCTGCGGTGACTATCCCCTCGTCAATATACTCGAGCGAGGTCTCCTCTAAGCGGAAATGGAACTTCTCCAACGTTCTTCTGAGGGGTAGTAGGGCCGTCGTAATGTGGTCATAGTCCAAACGGGAACCGGATCTCTCAGTGCCATACTCGTCATATTGCCAGTTCCAGTAGAGCGTTTTCAGATTACTCGTGTGCTCAAGAATCTGCGCCAGGCAGTCCGGATAGACCCAATCGACCTCGAGCGAGGTCAGGTGGCTGAGGTCAGGCTCTCCTGCCGGCCATTCAAATGGCAACTTGGGGTTCGGTATATTGACAACCAAGTCACTGGCTGTTGGGAGATAGAATAAAGACATGACGTCCGGGAAGACATCAAGATCTGAAGCGGAACGCTCCTTGTAATAAATGAGCCGGTTCAGCTGTTCGAATCTGGGCAGTTGGCCAAAGACTGCCGAATAATCGGGTATCTGGCCAAGGATCTTAGACTGCAGAACTCGACTGGCGATTTCGGACCTGTGGATGAAGTTGTGTGTGATTGCAAGGAATCGTATCTTGCAAAGATTAGCGATGAACAAACCAATAAGCGCATCCATGCTGCCTGAAGCCGATTTCAGTTGATCAACCCAGAGACTGGTATATGGCACCTTGGTCTTCTCGATCGCGGTTAGGAAAAGGTCTAATGGCATCTTGGATGGGTCCAAAGGCTTAGGTCGTGTATTAATGGCAAACTGATTTCCAACCATGGTAACAGAGTCTATATAGGCGAAAAGCTCTGGTCTCTGGAGGAGGGTGCGAAGGAGAGGGACGACCGGAGGCACCTGACGATAGTCCCAATCGAAAGCAATGTTCGCATACAGAAATGGCTCGGCAGATCGGCGCAGGGCTTGGCTGACATAGGATAGAGCCACGAGATCAGATCTAGAGACAAAATCCAAGAGATTATTGGCAATCTCAGAGGGGAGGCTGTAAAGCTGTGCCATGACCTCTTTGGGTGTATGTCGATGATAGAGAGCTGTCGATGATGGAGAGCCGTCGATGATGGAGAGATTTCGATGATAGAGAGATGTCGATGATAGAGCGATGGCGAAGAATCTCGAGGTTGTCGCGCGAATGAAAGAGGTGAGGCAGCGAGACCTTTTAGAGAGGGAATAATGTCTGCCCGACCCAGCACTTGGGCACAAATGATATCTGATATTCCTGAATCTGGACGTGGCTGTGGGGGTAAATCAAGCTGTGTTTCAATGCGCATATGCATGTGCATGTGCGTGGGCAAATGAGGTATCAGCACCTCCTCATCCTCTCTCCTGAGTGCATGTGGTGTGGTTGCAACTCGCATTTGGGTGGTCAGCAGTGACCAGTTGAGTCAGCAACCAGGTAGCCAACCACCAAACAATCCAAGCCAACCTTCTCGCCTTTCCTTTCCAAGCAGGTTTTAGGTCAAATCATTTCTATTGAGGCTGACGACACATGTCAAGTCCTCAGACCAACATGAGGCTCTGCTTAGAACCCAAGAAAGCCAAGATAATGGGATTCCAAGTGCATGTCAATCCGGCAATTTCACACAATGAGTACCTAGGTATAAGCCAAGTTAGGGATATACTATTGAAAAGTCAGTTGCGACCGGAGACTATCTATCTATACATCGATCATAAGAAGCTATAACAGATTATTCCCATGTGCGTACCAAGCTACGAAAACCAACCAAACGATGATGTATCCCAAGTCATTCCTTCTCAACGCCTCATCGACGATTCATCATCTAAAACTCCATGTTGAGAAAGCTCCCAGAGGTGTGAGCCATCTTTCTATTCCAAACAATCGTACTCATTCGCTTAGGCGGGCTGCTGGCCCATCCTCATGGCCGACGCGAGTCTAGACCTGGCACTATCCTTAGAGCGGCTGTGCGACTCTCCTCGAGGCGACGAGGTTTCGTAGTAACGCTCAGGCTGCTCGTCGAAGCCGACCTTGGAAGGTCGTGGTGGTGGAGGAGGTGCATGGGATGGAGGCTTCTCGGTGGAAGTCGCGGCATAGCTGGACGAGGACCCTCCATTGGTGTGGCTTGGTTGGTCCCAAGATGAATCCTGGAGGTCGCGGGCACTTGTCGGTGTTTGAGGGATTTGAGGGACTACCGACTCTCGTTTGGAAGACACTGGCTTCCGAGATGACTGCTGTTCGTTCGCCGGTCGTTGGGCGTACTGACTGCTGGACTGCCAGCCGACCGATGAAGCTTGTCTTCGTACGCCATCGTCGTCTGAGGGTTCGTCCTCTGGTTCGTCCTCGTAAGCTCTAAGCTCGCTCCGCATGGCAAGAGCTGCGCAGATGTTCCTTGCGTCTTCGATGGCCTCCTTCTGCTTCTTCAGTGCCAAACGCTTCTCGCGCGTCTCCTTGTTCTCAGCTGCGATGGCTTCGATGTTGTGATCCGACATGCGCAGAATCTCAATAGGATTGAACAGCCGGAGCATTCCGAGGAGCAGGTGGCGCTCTACAACCTGGGTGATGACGTTGCGTACAAAGATGCGGGCGGTGAGATCGTAGTAGATCAACATCTTCTCGAGGACCTCCTCGGCCTCGGTGTAGGAACCGCCGTTCTCGATGATGGCAGCGCGCCACTTGCGAAGACGATCCTCGTACTCGGGGTCGAAAGGCTGTACCTCGAGCTCCATGTCATCCGTCAGTCGATTGAGTTCCTTATCGGCACTATCCATGAGCTCCTTCATCTTGAGCTCAAGGAAGTGGAAGCGCAAAGGATCACGCATGCGCATCGGCCAGACATGATCAATGACATCAGCGAGGAACTCGTTGCAAATGACACCCAGGTTGTCCTTGTACTCTTGGGCGAGAATTGGCCAGTTTCGAGAATAGTCCTGGAAGAGGATGTAAGGCGCTCGGGGGTTAGAATCAAGCGGAAGTTCGTTACCGCGGATCTGTCGCAGAAGAGGCTCGACTTCATTCTGTGCAAAAGCCTTCTTGGCCGGATCCATCAGCAGTCCAGGCGAGGGCAGCGACGCGTTATCAGTGGAGGGAGGGACTTGGTTGGTACCAAAGATCACACCGCGTCCGTGCTGGCGGAATCGTCTGGCAAACCTATCGCTTTCTTCTCGCGCACGAGCTCGGAGTTTCTGCGAGGGCGTAGATTTGGGGTTCGATTGTCGGGAGAAGAACTTCTCGCCAAAAGGGTTCTTGTAGTTACCGTTGACCGCAGGAGTGACGAGATTGTTCGAGGCGGTGAAGAGCTCACCCATCTCAAATCGCATCTCCTCGATGGTGTCCTTGCCAGCTCCCATAGCCTTGAGCTGAGCCTCGCAGCGCTCGAGAGATTGCTGAATCTGTCGCCTCAAAGACTTGACATGCTTGCCAATGTGGCGCTGGAGCTGGGTGCTGAGCTTCTGTCGGAGCGAACCAATTCCCCAGTTCTGTGGGGGGAGAACCGCCCATTTTCCGCGAGTGAAGAATTCGGTTTCTTTGCGGAGGCGCTCCTCGGGAGTGAACCAGTCATCGGATGGACCCGGATTCAAGAGAACATACCAGCCGAGCTTGAAATGGTTTTCGGGGTCCTTGTTAGTAACGAGCTCAATAAATTTGTCCTCCAGACCGATGCGCTCTGTCATGTCTGGCTTGGTCAAGACACCGATGGTTCGAGAGCCCTTTGGGTCAAACTGGCGGGCCTTCTTCAGGATGGGAGCCTGCACGTAGTCGTTGTTGCCTCCGACGACGGCGAGGATAATGGTGCGTGAGCTCTTCATGTACCGATCCGACAGAGCTTCGATCGTTTGAATGTCGGCATCCGACTGGTCGCGGTTGGCAACGCGGACCAGGCCAGGCAGATCGACAAGGGTGAGCAGCGGCATTTCGGGGCCATTCTTCTCGACGACGAGGATATCGCGGGCAGCGAAACGTCCGGGGATATTTCGTGGCGCAATGAGCTCTGTCGCGTCTCTCATCATCGTCTCAAAAGGATAATCACCAGTGACGTTTCCGCCATACTGCATCAAAGCCTGCTGCTCCTTCAGCGGCCGGCTCTTGTCCGGGATGATGGACACTCTGAGCGACGGTTCCTTTGCCCGTCGCAGGCGGATTTCTGTGGCGAAGCGAGTGCAGGCGCCTGCATCTCTGGGAAACGGAGTGCCGCTCAGGGCCTCGAGAACGGAGCTTTTCCCCGCGGACTGGTCGCCCACGACGACGATTTGGGGGAGCCTGACATTGTCAAGTTGGGCAAATTGCAGCTTGTCAACAAGATCCAGCAAGCCTCGCTGCTCGTCAGCCAGCCCGTTGGTAGCGAGGGAGGAGTCGATGGACGGTTCCATGTTGTGACTAGGCAGAGGGTCAGTAATGAATGCGGGCGCAACTTTGGGGCTTGCAGGAGAAACGGACAGTGAGCCCATCAGCGATGGGGAGCCAGTATCAGGCAGGACAGCAGTTCGGGTCATCTACTGTAGGGCAAGGTACAAGGGTGTGAGATATGCACAAAAAAAAATCTGTCACGTCAGAGAGCCCGGCCTGGGGAACGTGTTTTATATCAGCGACTCCCCAATCACTGCCAACCCGCACTTGCTCCGTGTTGGGCGCCATCACCTGCATTGCGCGGCTTTTGGTTGGCGTAGGACAGGACGAGTGGCAATCCGGAGCTTCCCTCCTGCGCCACCCTCTACAGGCATCTGGATTCATGTGCCAAGGCCACTGCTCAGCTGGCTGCGAGTGCCGCGTAGATCCCCTGTGCAAATCGACCACAGGGCGGCTGCCTGCCTCGGGCCTCATCAGCAGCAGCCACCTCGCAGACACACTCGATTCATGTGCAGTTTCATAAGGCAAATGCCACAGTGCTCCTTCACACGGTAGCACACTGCGCCCTAGATCCAGTCTAGCTCTGGCCCAAGGTGGGTAATGCGATGCAATGCACTACGTAACCGAGTGCGTTGCTTGACGAAGCCAGAGTCATTGCTGTACGGCAACCTGGCCCTCCATGTGAATCAGGCCCAGTCCAGAAACCTGACGACATGCTTTGCCTGCTCTCCGTTTCACTGTGGATCCCAGAGAACCATCTCCATCCAAACCAGAACCTTAAAAATACAGCATTTTTGGTGTTGAACTTTAGATACGGCCGGGCACAAGGCTCGTAGCCGGGCACAAGGCTGAAGTTTATTGTGATGCCTGGGTATTGTATCAAGTTATCAAATTACTGGTGTTTGGGAATTTCCCCTTTTCTTTTCAGCAGCTGTCCAGCTCCCTCACTTACTAAAAATACAGCATTAGTTTGATATTACTACCATGTCCTTCTATCGACTTCGCCTTTTTTTTGCCCTCCAGCCATGTCCTCCTAATACCGTAGCTCCTGCAGATAGCCCCGTGAGGGACTTGTCCCCTTCTGTGCGCACACCCCACGTCGTGGCATCCACTTGTTCACCGTTTGAAGTGGATGGCGGTGAGGGTGCCGTATATCCACATTCATTGTCCCAACCAGTTCTTTGCGTTGTTCGTGTATAATCCATGCCACCTCCATTGCAACCCATCTCAATGACAACAAATTCCTCCTGGAGCTCGTACCGTCCCAGCTCGACTAGGATGGAAGATGTTTTTGCTTATACTCGAGATTCGCGACACGACAACATCCACGGGCTGCATTCATCCTGGGCAAGTCTTGGATTGCAATGAACATCTGAACCTTCAGAGTCAAATCCGGCGCCGGCGCATCAGTTGAGCTCGGTCCTCGTGATTTCCAGTATCGAGGCGAAATTCTCGGATATTCATTCGAATCCCAATCCTTCATAGCATGGACAGGACATGTATGGGCAACCGGCGCAGTGTTTCCACAGACAGAGAGCGAACTTCGACAAGACAATACGGCAGACGTTGGATCGAATTGGCAAAGGCTTGTATATTACAGTATGGTACAGTATGATCATGAGAAGAGCATCGACACCTGGAATTGTTAGCTCGCCAGTGGACACGTCGCAAAGCCAGCTTCATTAACCTACCGCCATCAGCACGCAAGCCAAGCTAACGTAGGGACTGAGCCGCTCGCCGACTCGTGCGAATTTCCAGAATATGCCTAATGAACTGTATTCCCCCGTCAGAATCGCATGGCGCTTCGCGGGCTGTATTCGTCTACTAACCCATCCTTATTCGCATCGAGAATTCTAGGGAAGATCGCGTGCACGTATGTTGAAGTGCAGATGGCTAGGAGAAGCACAAGGATGATCGAGTGGAGGTTGAAAATTGCCGACTAGACAAATACCACCCTATGTTAGCAGCTTTATTACTGGCAGGTCAATCGCCACATACCATCATTCTGGGCGACTTTGTTGTCCCTTGTGCGAGTTGTTTCTTGCGCGAGCTGGAGTCGTTCTTTGCATTTGCTAAGTGATTTCTGGCCTCTACAGCATTAGGAGAGAGCTTGCTCCAGTAAGGGTGGGTACATGTTTTTCCGCCCCGTGCAGACAAGTGTGGCGCAGCTGGTTTGAACGTGTGGCGTTTTGTGGCTTAGCACAGTGCGCTTGGTGGCTGTTTGGTGTGGCACTCCATAATCTCGGGGATCTCAGCACGCGCAGCACTTCGTAATCAAAGCCGCCTTGGTTGAGCCAGTCCAGCTTGACACGTCACAACATAGGCTGCGTCCTGGGGCGACGATTTCGATAGTGCACTTTTTCTGGATACCTAAGTTCTTAATTAGTATCGCGCGATGTGTTTATCCCCGACGGGATAACGGAATTAACTCAAAGCTCAAGAGATACACATCCACTTCCTCTCGCTCTCGGGTAGCTCAACATCCTAACCGAGTACACAGTCCCAACCCGATTTCCCCTTCGTCTCTCTCTTCAATCTGTTTAGCTTTTCGTCTTTTGTTTGGAAAGTAACGACAAAGTCGGTGGGTCGGACTGAATATCATCAAAGTTACATACGCTCAACTTCCGCCATCTTGACAATGAATTCCTCCTGAAGTTTTTGAAGATACCCTGGCAATACCGCTTCATTTCCCGAGTCTCTGGCCTGTTTCAAAGCCTCGTGAAGTTGAAGAATCAGCCGACGACGGTGGTTGAGCTTGCTCGATTCAGAGCTCTTCTGTTTGGCTTCTCTTCGTTGCCTCAGATCGTTGGACACATGCTCGGCTGTTTCAATGAAGGATGAGGGCAATCCCATGGCTCGGGCTAAATGAATCCCGTAATTCTGCTCCTCGTCGATCGAATTATTCGTGACTTTATAAAGCATGATTATTTGTGGCCTGCCGTCCCTTGTGGTTGAGCTTCTGGCAGAGAGATGAAGATTCAGAACTCCAGGGCGATCAGCCAACACGCGCGCCACATCGATGAAATGAGTGGCAAACCATACTGATGCTCTGCTTTGGATAAGCGCTTCGGACATTGCAATGGCAATGGCAAGGCCGTCTCTTGTACTTGTTCCACGACCGAGCTCATCTATTATCGCCATACTCTTATCGTCAATGTTTCTCAGAATAAATGCCATTTCACGCATTTCTACCGAGAATGTCGATAGGTTGGATTCGATGCTGTCATCCATCGAGACCCGAGCGAAGATGTGATTGATGATGGTGAAGGCCGCGTATTCAGCAGGCACAAATGACCCGACTTGGGCCATGATTTGAAGTAGAGCAACTGTTTTGATATAAGTGCTTTTGCCACTCATGTTGCATCCAGTAACGATATGGAAACAAAACGAGCTTTCACTTGAGTAATAATCATTGGGGACAAACGACGTTGCTACATCCTATGGCAAGTCAATATCGCCTCCGAAGATGGGGATAGGAGGCTCATACCTTTTCAAGAATCGGATGACGAGCGGCTTTCAGGGCAAGAGTTTGTTTGATCTCAGGTCGAACATAATCTCGGGTGGTGGCTAATTGAGCGAAGGACGCTATCATGTCGACGAGTGCAATAGATTCGCTTATCTTGTAGAGCACAGAGGCCTCCTCGCGTAGTTTCTTCACCAAATTGTAGATGATTTCATCGCTACGCATAACGACTTCGTTTGATGCATCTGACAACCGAAGATTCAATTTGACGAGTTCAAGGGTTTGGCACTCCACTTGATCTTTTTTCTTGACCACGTTGATTAATTTCTGAGGTATGGGACCATCTAGGTCAGCAGCGCGAAGTCGAAACCAATATTTTCGCCCGTTATCGTACTTCAGTTTGATGTTTATACGGTATTCGTCTGGCTCAATTGTTAGCCACCGCAGCATCCAGCTAAGGAAAATGCGTAAATACCGCTGATCACGTCGAGATGTTTGTGAATTTCCTCAGTAAGTTCCTTGTATGTTTGCCGGGAAACGTCGAGTATCCCACACACTCCAGCTTTCACCGCAAATGTTCTTTGATTACGGAGGTCTAGGGCGGTTTTTGTGTAAGTCACATCTGGTTCAATCACTTCGCGAATGATTCGCAGTATCCGGTTGGCGGAATGGGGGTGGAAAAACCCCCTGGCCTTGACAAGGAGATCACTTGTTGCAGAGGAGAGGGCCGCAAAGACATCTGGAATGGCTTCGAGAAAACTCTTTACAATTAACACATAGTTGATGAGACTTTCAACAAGAAACACGTCAGCTCCTGTTGGGGTGATTATCAACTACAGTCATGTTAGCGGTGTTCGAGGCGCACTCGGCCTGCATACCTTTGTCAGAAGCTTTTCAACGTCATGGAACCCCTTCAATGCTGAAAATGACACGTTAAAATTGTTCAAAAGTACGAAGACTCAAGCGAGATCCTACATTGACGTATGTCTCGAAACATTTCTTCATTACTTGTTAGCTCTGCTAACGCCTCATATCGGGGAATGATGAAGTTTTCCTGGTTCGTGGGTGGCTGAAGAATGTTGCTCCGTAGCATTCGACTGCCCATAGGTGTTAGTGTGGTGTTAAGAAGCCCAAAAAGACAGCTTTTGGACTTTGCATCACGCAAATTCTGCATGACTTCAAGCGACTGAAAGGCCGATATATCAATCATCATGGTGTCTTCTGAAGGAGTGTAGCTGATCCGTAATGAATTATGAGCAAATGTGATCTCCAAGTGTTGCTCGATATATTTCATGGCCTTTTACCGATTAATTTAGACACCATTTAAAGGTCATTCGCTAAGACTTACTGCACTGAATGATGTCGTGGCATAAAACTTGCCTTCAATGGCAACCTTGATTGGCCCAATGTCCGTTGAGAAGGCAAGGTTTTCGATGTACTCGACGCCATCTGATTCTGACCAGGCGGAACGATCAAATCCGTCCACTTGATAAGCTGGCATCGTCTCCTTGACCTGCTGGAACAAGCCTGACTGCCGGTTGGGAGGGCAAACGGTTGACGGAAATATGATGTTAGACGGTGACATGATTTGAAGCTTGTGGATTGTCTTGGAATAGTTCTGATTGTCACATATCTGGCTGAGTGTCACTTCACCGAGGGAAACATTCACAAAGGCTATTCCAACAGAAGGCGTCACTCCTCTTGCCTCGCTGATCGCGCATACAATGTCCTGGGCGTCACCAGTCCCGAGAAAACTCGATACTGTGGTGGCTCGAGATTTGCGCCCAGAGGTAGTGGATGGCCGTGTGCTGAGATATGACGTTGGTGTTCGAGAGCTCCTCGACATGGCTGAGCGAGAACGACGTTGACGTCCAGTTGAGGCGGACTCGACTGTTTGGGAGACTGAAGCAGAGTCATCGTACTCATAGCTTGTCAGTGATGGATATCCAGATGATTCGCCGGTCAGGGATTGGGAATCGTTCTCCTGAGGAGTGAGGGACCGAATCGCTCCTGGAGGAAACATCGCGTACAATTGTTGGGACCTTGGATGCACAGTAAGCTGTATTGGCTGCCTGCTAATTGACAGTGAAAAGGGAGAAAATTGCTACAAGGAAACCCGATTCTCCATCCACTTGCTTCCTTCAATTGGGCGTTCTTGCCTCAGCACTTAGACTGGTCCTGCGCGAGGAAGGAAGCTGCAGCCATTTCAAATGCACTAGCAAATGCTTATCGGCGGGACGATAAGCGCTTGCCGATCCCGCTACCCTACAGACCCTCCCACCCCACCGCACCCACCAATACTTGGTAGGCTGGCGTGTCGCACCCCTAGTCTCCGATCGAAATAAACCTCTCAAGCTGGTAACCTACGCAGACTCGCACCGCCCACACGAAAATCCACACCCGCCAGCTTCTTGCCATCCGTTCTGAGAATCCGACCTCGCCCATAGCTCGGCCCGCGCCTGTCTGCCGCAGCCATGTTCGGCATCCTCGAGGCTGTCGCAGCGCCTAGCGAGGGCATCTATGCCACCTACGATGACTTGATAAAGGAGTTGAACAATCGCGTCACGAAGGAGGGCTACAAGATCGTCAAGTCGCGTTCCCATAAGGGAAGGCTGATGACCCCCGATGATCCAGATGCTGTTGGAATGGTTCGGTGCGACCTCGTGTGTGATCGAGGTGGCCGACCGTACAAGAGTACGGCAACAAAGCATAGATCTACAACCAAGAAGACCAATTGCCCCTGGAACGCAAAGGCTGTTCATCGCAGACAGTTTGGAGGCTGGGTCTTGACAATTAAGTGCGATCAACACAACCACGAACCGGGCACGCCCGAGCCTCCTACACCGACGACCAGCGAAGTGGGGGATAATGATGCCGAAGGCGAGAATGACGGCCCGCAGCCAGACCCAGACACTTCGGAGGCTCTTCAGATCGCGGGCGTCTCTCCCAGTTCTCTTCGATTGACCGGAGACACTTTCCAACTATTTAAGACCGAGTACCGCAAGATGTCGCCGCCCGAACGATTGGGGATTCTCTCCCAGCTTCAACTAAGAGTTGCAGCCATATACGCTATCCAGAACGAGGATGTCCAGCGTCAGAAGAGACAAGAAGCCCAGCATAGGCGCCACATGGAAATCGAAGCTGGCCGCGGCCAACGTCCCATGCAGAAACAAAAGGCCCGTCGCCCACGACAGCAGCAACCGCCACAACCTCAACAGGTTCAGCAAGCTCAACAAACGCAGCAGGTGCAGCAAGGTGCCTTGCAGTCGCAGCAACAAGTCCAGACCCAACAGCCCTTGCAGCATCTTCAACATCAGCAACCTTTGCCACCACAACAGGCTCACCAGCTACCAAGCCAGCAGCAGCACATGGGACAGTTCCAGATGAGCCCGGATAGCCCGAGCCAACAGCTGATGAATCTCGGTCTTGCTCAGATTCAACAGTTCGCGGGAGCCTCCACTGATAAGCGCATGCGAGGTGCACCAATGCAACAAGGACAACAGCCAACTGCCTAGAGACATTGAGTTTTATCATCTTTTAGCAATATCCTCCCATCGCTTTCCAAATACCTGGTCTCTGCATTGCATCTGAAAGCTTCCAGGCTTTTCATATGGCGGGTACCTACAACGCCTGCGGTTGTTGTACTTCCGCCTACCTCACTAAGGCGGCGCAAGGCTTGCAAAAACGGGGTTCACTTCGTCATCAGGTATACTCGAGTTATTATTAGCTGTATTAGCATCCAATTATATGGCCTCTCAGGGCCGCTCGCTTTGTCGACAGCTGATTTGGAGGAGCTCTTCGGCGTCTCTTGATACAGCGCATCGGATCAATATCTCTCCGTGCTTCGCTCACCCATGATCATACCTCTCTAGTCATCAACCAAGGCATGAAGTCGCGGGTAGTTATCTTTCCCGGGCTTCTTCGGCATTGAGAGAAGGGCAGTGCATTAGGCTGTCATGAAAAGGGAATCATTCCACGAAAGTTGTGAGGAAAGTCCACACACACTGTTATCTGAATAGGTGCGGCTATAGAAGGGCATGTTATTCTCAAGGTTTGACCACCCTGACCTATACAAGAGGGGGAAAACATCATTGGATGTTTGAAAGACGGCACCGGGGTCGTCAAATATATGTATATATACATGGATTTTCTTTTCCAGGTGGACATTGGCCTCTTCTGATTATGAGGGGTGCCTATATACGAACGGCGCAAATTGCGCCTAGACATACATCTTCATGACATCTATGAAGCAAAGCGCTTCTATGTAGGCCGCAGTGGCAGACTCAAGCAAATGAAAACAATTCATCCTGACCCAAGATGAAACTGAATACTTCCCGAATGTCAAGCGGATCTTGTTCCAATGGCAAACAAAACTTCTACCTAGTACAAAACTTGACGGTCCCATGAACGCTTTGGATGTACCCATCAAGTGGCGAGATATTTGCTTTTTCTGAAGAAACTGGAGCTTTGGGTGCATAGGCACCTCGCCAGCAATGAGTCCCATTGCCACACTTGCTCCCCACGCAGCCTTGCAAGGATTCCGGAGTATCTCCTCGCAAGACGTGCAGGTACCACTCTCTTGTCCGAAGTACAAGGCGGCATTCTATACTTGCCCCTATAAAGCGGGGATACACTCTAAGCATTACAGCTTTCAAATAAGGAATTGTTCGCCGGGAGCACCCCATCGCTGAGAAGCTCTGATACACCGGCCTTGGCCCCAATACGCAAGGCATCAGCAGGGATACACAAACAACACCGAAGTCAGCACGGCGGGTCGGCGTAATTGGTGAAAGACAAGATCCTCCCGTTTCATACCGAGCCTACAACACGCATCACATGTCCTTGATAAACACGAACAAAACCCATCACATGGTCCTCGCACCCAGCTGGCCTGACTCGGAGGAGGTGAGAATGTAACAAAAGGCACGGGAAGGAGCTTCTCTGACTGGTTTGTTACATGTTGCCGGGCTGGCAATTTGTTGGGGTAAACGGGGGGGATGTGCCACAGCGAGGTGGCATGTCGATGATAGGATCACCACCTCAGCTTGATTCAAAGCTGACCAACACCCATAAAAATCTGAAATAGCGCTAACGACGTGGCATCTGACAATCGAAGAGTCATGATGCGAAAGCTTTGTATCGCGAGATCGAGAAAATCAAAGGGCCGGATGATAGCCAGTCCCCGGGCTGCACGTATCGGCTACGCTGATGCGTTTCCAGGCTGCGGGCGCGCGCACGCCACCTACTTTGCCTTGCGTTGAGACTTGCTTCTGCACATCCCAGTCACCATTACGTGTATGTATGGACGTCGAGATAAGTTTCCCCAAGCGGCACGGCAATTAGTGTCGTCAAGTATTGACGGACACTGGGGCCGAAACGGCTGGTAGGGCGACTGATTGGTTCAGCACCCAGCGCGATGAAGGCTTTAGTGAATCTGATACCTCCTAGGAACAAGATCAGGTCGAACTGTCAATGCGGCCGCCGCACAGTATCCGGTCCCGGGACGAGCTGAAGGACTAGAGCCAAGGCTAGCAATGTACCTCGCCATCCTCTTCCCCTTCCGGGAGCTCGATCGATGGGGATCAGGTAATTATCCAGTGTGTTATTGCACGCCCCCTTGAGTGGATTGCGTGGAGGAAACAAGGCAATGGATCTTGGGGTTGTAGTTGACCCTGACTTACATTCGCTTATGCGGACGCATTTGGTCAGTCGTGGTCGGCTGGAAAACCGGTCACCACTCGCCCTTTTCAAGGGAGGCAGGAGACGTACATTACCTCGGCCATCCCCACCGCGAAAGGGCTGTTCCAACAAGGCAGCAGAGTGAGGCAAGTAGCCATCAATTGTGATACACGGCCCAGGGAGAAGTAACACTCTCCTGATTGCCGTTTGTGGAGGGCCCGAAGTCTGGTCGGGGTGTGACCGGGACTAGTTTCGCAGGTGCATACATACGTGCATAACACACGTCCAGTTTGAGAAGACCGGCATAGCTGGTTTCTGGGATAAGTTGCATCAAAACTCTTACGTTGCCTTGGAAGAGGCGAGGTAGGCAGCATGAAAGCTCCGACTCGATCCATGTTAGATTGAGATTAAATTAGCAAGGCATAACACGGTGCGGCCCGCAGACCGTCTAAGCCGAGTTGATTACTCAGATAGTTCTTCGTAACTTTATACGTACGCTGGGAACGAACAAGCATGCCAAGCTAGAATGTGGAATGAATTTGAAGCCGTCTCTAGACTTATTGAACGAATCCAATATCCTTTGAACATTTAAACACGGGTTGTGTTAGCGGGCCCATCTTTGGAGAAGTCCCGTCAAGGTGCGACGATCACGAGAGGTGTGAACCCCTCATGTTGCTATTATTAATGAGTTGATGGCCTAAGGAGAAACCAACCTCACAAGGACGACGAAAAAGCGACCAGAATGTGGGTATGCCAAGAACGACGGAAAACCAGTGAGCCATATTTGCGTGGCAGCTGGCTTTTCCGTTGGCTCAATCACATGGCAAATGATACATCATCCATCAGCCATTGCAAGATGGACCTCGTGAGCCAAAGGGGGCGAAGTACAAAATTGAACCACCATCGTGAACTGCAATGTGTTAAGCGCGGTTAGAGCAAGCGAGATAGCGACATTGCTCCTTCGGCCGTACGGGGGGCATGGTGCCGTCGCGAAATGGGGGGGAACAATATTCGGCTTCTAGAGAGCAGCTAATAGTGCATAGTGCCACAATCCCCGAGAGCAACGCCGCTATTGGCGCCGAAGCTTGGAGACTGAGACCTTGCGAAGAAATCGATGGGAGGGAGGTAGTGTCGTGGGGTGACATTGAGGTCCATGCCGGCCAATTATTTTCCTCTGGAGGGACCTGTCCGAAGTTCCTGAGATTGTGGAAAAGTCAGTACATGGTCATGAGCGAGGGGAAATCGATAGGCACTCACCCTGCATCTTCTGTGGAGGATGATTCCAGAACGCCGGTTCTATCCGATCCCCCCCTCCCCGCGCAGGAGGTAGACAAGGTAGAGTACTTATTTGGATCATAGTGTGCCGCCCATCTGCAGGCTGCCAGTCAGTGTGGGATGCTGCATTGGCATACACACCTTAAGCATAGTCAATCACAAGGCACAGCCTTCCACATGAGCAACCGGGCCGGGCTCGCGATGGAGGGACGGGAGGCGCTGAGAAGTCACGACGCGCCGACGAGGCTCTGACCGGTGGCCACGCAGCGCCAGGGAGATGTGACTGATCGTCCTACGCCTCCCATTGAGGGTATGCTTAGACGTGTTGTTTGCTTACCATTAGGTTCGGTCTAGAATCATGATCGCCCTCCGGTGAGTCTCATTGAGCTGGCAAGCTGGCAAAAAATGACAGGCTGTAGAGGTTGCTCATGTCACATCTGTCACCCATGCTATGTGCCTCATGTATAGTGCGGCAACACTTCTCCCTTTTGGTCCCCCGGGTTTCCTGACTCACGCTGTTGTTGGTTGGCTGCCAGCCATGATGCATACATTCCGTTGGATGGCTTGTTTGCGCCGCAGCCCACCATCCATAATCACATTTTCAGATACCTACATGATGGGTGTTATTTTAGACGCGTAACACCACTCAGAGGGATGCCGCTACCGACGACCAGAGCCGCTGAAAGGATCAGCTGCGATCGGCGTGGTGCCAATAGCCGTTGAGCTGTAGCAGCTTCTCTGGAGCTTACATCCCCATTCTAGGAACCATGGCCAGGGCGGGGAAGAACTACCAGAAAAATGGCATTCGGCCAAGAACAAGAGACCGATAGATGGGGTAAAGCTCTAGGGACAAGATACATACGTCACACCATATTGACGGTACCCCTCTCCGGCTAGGGATCTTGCTAGACCTGCTGCAGTTAGCAATTAGTCTCGGATCGGGATGGGAAAGGAAAGACAGCCCGCAGAGGGAAAAGCGACGCTAGAGGGAGAAAAAACGGGAAAAAAGCAAAGATCGCTTCTAACCTCAGGGTGGGAGAGCACCTGGAGGCAAGAAAAAAATGCCTCCATGCGCTGCACTTGGGGCCAAAATCTGGCTAGGTGCCTCACATGCATGACATGCTGCATTTCGCAATCCCAAAACAATCTGGAACTGGCAAGGAGGAACAGCTACGACCTGGCAGGTCAACAGGGTTGGGTGCATGTGGTGCGTGGAGGCCAACCTGCGTCCATCCAACGGGAGCTCCCTTGCTCGCCACATGTTACTGCAGGGTTGGAGCTCCGGCGGCAACTAGCACTGTAAGATCTCTTGACGGGCGGCCTCGAATCGGATCTTGGACTGGAACCGGCTGTCTGTAATTGATGTAGGTGGTCGCAGGTTGGGTAGGGGTGTCTGTCCGTCAAGCTTGCTTATGGGCGCGTCGACGAGTCAAAGCGCCGGGAGATGTGAGAATGATGAATCAATGACTGCTATTGTGTGTTTCGAAGCAAGGCAAGTACCTGCTGTACTGGTACAACCTGCCCGCTCAGAGATGCCGATACAATTCCAAGTGAACCACCC